GTCACAGACCATTGATTCTAAGTCACTCTAGTGCTGTAGACTGATCTCTGGTTCTCCACAAGAGCAAGAAGTACAAGTACTCTTATCTTAACCATTGAACCATGTCTCCAGCCCCCATATTTCCATTTGTTTTAAATAAAAAGTTACTACCCCTGCCTTTTTAGTGAAGTACAACATCTTTAATAAAGTATATATTCTAAATTATTATAGAACCCCACAAAATCTTTCTTGACACTCACTTTCATTTGTACCCTTCTCCTACCTTTCCCTGAACCCTAGTGTTAATTGGTACCCTAGCATCTAATGGTATACATTAGCTGGGGCTGATTTAGAGTTAAATAAATGGAATCATAACAGGATGTGCACTTGTTTTTCTGATTGCTTTCAGTCGGCCTTATGTTTGTGACAGGTCATCATTTTGATTCATGTGCTTATACATGATTTCTTCCTACAATTGGACAGCATTCTGTGGTCCGTTAATACACAAGGGTCTTTAGTTTGCTACTTTAGAGAAATAGTAAGCTACTGCATAATTCTAAATAGAATTTGTTTTTCTCTCTAGGCATAAAGCATGAGTATCAAGCAAATGGACCAGAAGACCTCAATCGGACTAGTATTGCAGAAAAGCTTGGTGGCTCCTTAATCGTAGCTTTTGAAGGATCCCCTATTTAGATCATCAGCCAGTGCCACAATTGAAAGCTTCCATGTTTAACACTATCCTTTCACTATAGAAGTAAAGCAAATATATTAGGCCAGGATCTCACTGAGGGGAATTTGTCTTGTCATCTTTATAGTAAACTAAAAATTTTATAGATGTATGCAAACACCAACACCTACATAAATCTAGCCTCTAAAGTTTCATTGGTGTGGAATTAAATTCTTATTGGCCAAATGCCTATTTTCATGAAGTGACTTACAAAGATTTTGTTGAGCTCAGGATTTTAATAACACAGTTCACAAAACAGTACAAGGCAATGTGAAGCGACCTCTAAATCTTGACTAACCTCAGCAGTTACTTTTGTTTCCTTTGCTTAGAAAACTGATTGTAATCTATGTATAATTTTCATCCAAATTCTCTATTTTTCCTTGACTTAAACAAAATAATGAGGTATAATTTTCTTTAGTGTATACAACACTAATATACACTAACAGCAGTAACTAAGCCAGGCAGTCTTCAGTCATCAGATACATCACGAGACTGCTTCAGAACTGTGTCTGCTTAGAATCACGCTGACCTTGCAGCACACCATCCAGAGCACAGTGTGGAATGCAGGAAGCAGCCCTGTACCTGCAGCAAGAGGCTCCCTGGGCTGGGAAACTGCTTACAGTGACTTTGTGTCTTAGAAATCATGGTATATCCTCAGGGGAATGTTCAGTGTCTTGTAACAACTAATTATATTGCAAATTAGGGCTTCATTGTAATCTACTTCATTAATGAAAAATGATAAAGCAGTGTATTTAAAAAAGTCAGGGTGCTGTCAATCTTTAATTTCTCCTTCAGAACCCTGCTGCATCTGGTACAGTAGGATGTGGAAGAGTGTTGAGTGTTTCCTCTGGGGCCTGGGAGGACATAAATCCCTAGAGCAGTTTACCAGCTGTGTGGGAAACGGGAACAAGTACCACGGATGGCACTCACAGGGGCCTGCCTAACGACACTTGGAAGTGATAACATCACAGGCACGACACCACACAGTGTAGATGCACAAGCAGCTCAACTTAGAAGTAGCAATGCTGGCTTTATGTAATAAAGGAAGCATTTGTAACTTACCTTTTGTGTGGTTATTTGTCTGAATTGGAGATAAAGAACTTGTCTTCTGCATGTTTTCTTATTGCTGTGATAAAGGTTATGTCCAAAAGCAACTTGAGGAAGAAGGGTATACTTTTATTTCATTTTACAGCTCCCAGAACCCATCACTGAGGGAAGTCAGCACACAAACTCAGACATGGAGGAATGCTGCTTACTGGCTTGCTTAGTTTGTTTTCTTACCCTAAGACCATAAACTCAGGGGTGGTGCTGCCCACAGTGGGCTGGACCCTTCTAAATCAATTAAGACAGTGCCCCTAAAGACTTGCCTATAGGGCAATCTAATAGGGGTATTTTCTTAGTTGAGGTTCCCTCCTCTCAGATGACCCCAGCTTACGTCAGGTTGACACCAAACAGGCTAGCATACTTTCCCTATGCAGTGAGTCCTCCAGGGTTTGTCACAGCTCACTCCTCTGCTTAAATGAGAATGCAGCTATAGAAGTTGGACACCTTTTTCTTATTCCATGTGTCTATCTGAAGGAAGCAAAGTGGTAATTGTACTTCCATCAGACTCCCTTTAAAAGTTGGCTGCTTGTCATTCATCCTGAATTTCTATGCAGCCATTGTAGTGGGCCCCATAGTCCGTGAGGTCAAGAACAGCCCGTGGATGGTCCAGGTATTGTCCAGGGCTTTTTAGAACTGTTTGTACTTGTGAAGTGTGACTGCTGCCATCACCACAGCTCTGTGCTTCAGAAGTTTGGGCACACAGGTTTAAGCAGTCTGTAAGTAAACATCTCCAGAATGTTAATGGTTCCTGGAACCTGTTTGTCTCATATAGGTGGCTTTTGGGAAATTTCAGGGGACACCTAGTCTGGGCCCCAAGTTGTGCTAACAAGTATTTCATTTCAGTTCTGCTGTAGTAGTTCAGGTTTACGTGTTTGCTGACATTGGTCAAGGAAATGCAATTCATAGAAGACATTTCCACTCTCAAGGGCTAACATACTAAAATGTCTGTGGTCACTGAGAAAGGTGCTCATGAGGCCAGTGCTATGAAGTTTGTTACTTCCGAGATTATTAGTCTCGGGAAAACAGCTGTGACTTGGATAGTTGAGTCCATCCTGGTCTTCCTACAAAGCTGCCTAGGCCCTTGGCAGCTTCATTCCTGCAGCCCACTGGAGAATGAACCTGCCCACAGGTTTGGATCTGTCACTGGAAGAAGGGACACTAGGTGCATGACACTGAATGGTCAGGGGAACAAGGGTTCCTCAAGAGGCTTCAGTCACACAGTGGATCAACTGTTCTGCTGGCCAGTGCAACTGGAAAGCCTCTGGGCAGCCCTTCAATAGCCAGCACAGAGGCAAAGCAGTTCACCTAACTGCACAGAAGCCATGACTCTAGCCATGCTGTCCCTGCTACTGTGGCGAGTTCCCGTTCTTTTAGCCCTTGGGATTTAAAGGTTGGGTTTTTAGTAGATGAGCTATGAGAGGGGTGGGAAAACTACCTCCTTTGGCCTCAGAACTCGTTAGATCCAAACCTGAAGCGAGCTCAGGGAGAAAGCGTTTGTGGAGGGTGTGTTAGCCTCCTGCCCACCAGGGTCTTTGCTAAGGTGGCCTATTGTTCCTGTCCTTACTGCACAGCTTCTGCAGGCCAGCATCCTGCCTGTGGACCACACTCTCAATGCGAGTCGTGAAAGATGAGAACATGCTTGTCATGGCAGTGGTCTGTGCGGTACTGCTTCCAGCTCGGAGGTAGAGGCCACCACGGACATCTCTGGTGGCAAGGTGGGATCTTCCTAAAAGGAAGCATTTGGGCAGCTCTGGTACTGAGACAAATGTGGCACCCCAGGAGAGCAGTATCTCCAGAGAGAGGATACCCGTTTTCCCACCTCCTCGGCCAAGTGACTGGAAGCCTCAACTGCTTAAGCATTTAGTCTTGGTGGCCAGGGAGCAGTGACTGACCAGGCTTCTGTGGTGGTTACCGTGTTGAACCTCTTTCACGTTCTGCAAAAGGCCACTGCTAGTCTAGTGTCTGAGTTGTTCTTCTCTGCTCCAGAGTCCTATGGTTAGAACCTTGTTTAGGAACAGCTGGGTAGCTGAAGCGAGATCCAGCACACTGCTGCTACCGTTGGCTGCCTAACAAACTCAGGCTCCCTCTGCTGGCCTGGGAGGTGGCGCTGCTGGGCCGGTTTGGAGGACTGATGGGCTCTTTGAGCCAGAGATACTGTGGTGTCCACAAGCTACCCAGGCCAGCTCCCAAACAGGCCTCACCGTGCACCATCGCTGGCTTATCTTCCCACCCTCTCCGAGGGGAAGATGGTTCCCACTGGTGACAGTAAGCAAAAGCCAGGGACTATAAACCCAGTTTGGGTAACTCCAGGATCTTGCCACCTTTCCTGTTCCTCTTTCCTTTCAAAATGGGTGTCCTAGTGCATGCCTTTAAATCCCAGCACTCAGGAGGCAGAGGCGTGAGGATCTCTGTGAGTTCAAGGCCAGCATGGTTCCAGGACTGTTACACAGAGAGACCCAGTCCTGTGCCATCAGAGAGCATCTTCCTAAGCACGGGGGTTGTTAGCACTCTTCCCCCAACTCCTGCGTCTTCAGAGGAAATCTCCCTAAGTATGTGGGCTGTTAGTTCCAGGTCTTCCCCCATTACTAATCCATATGGGCTTCATGAAATTTATTCCCGTCAGGTTCAGTTCCCCTCAGACTACTCGAAGCAGTAATTCTCAACTTGTGAGTTGTGATCCTTTAACAGGAGTCTCCTGAAACCATGAGAAAACCTATTTCCATTACAACTCCTAACAGTAGCAAAATTACAGTTATGAAGTAGCAATGAAAGTAATTTTATGGCTGGAGTCACCACATGATTGTGTTAAAGGGTTGCAGCATTAGGAAGGTTGAGAACCACTGACTAGCGTTCCCGTGAGTCATCCATAGCTGGACCCATGCATGTATTGATTTTCCTGTTACTTCTTCCTATTCGGTCTCCCAGTGGGAAACCAAAGTCTTGGGTTTTGGTGGCCCCTCTCCCCCATGGCCTCTGAGGGGTTCACGACAGGTGTAATTGTTCCTTGCTGACAGTCTCCTGTCAAGCACTGCCCAGCCACACGACCTTAATACCGTCTCAGCCTTACCCTCCCCACAGCTGAGGACCGTCCTGTTCATCAACACCGACACATGCCATGCCTTGGTGGCTCATAGGGGCTCGGCCGTGTGGTCTCAGGTGTGTAGTGTCAGAAGATCAGACAAGACCCCAGTGCCGGGCAACACGTTGGTTTTAATGGCATTGACATCCAGGCAGTCACATGTCAGTTCTGCTTGGCAATTTCCAGGGGTGAGGGCTGCAGCTTTGCTGGGCTGGGCTGAAGCCCTCCAGTCTGCTCAGCAGCCTCTGAGAACTCACCACCTGGCCTGTTGCTCCCCGACCCGGCCCCACTGAGAAATACAGACAATTGCACTGATTGACATAAATCCCGAGCGTTCTGGACTCCCAGCACACCCCGGTCTGTCAGCGTTGATGAGGGCTTTGGCGTCTGCTCGAGGTGGTCCAGGGCTGCTCCCGGGAATAGTGTTTATCAAATGTGACAAAAGTTCTTTTACAGACTGGGGGTCTGGAAGATTTATTTCTGTGGTTCTGAGACTTGTCTCCAATGGCTTCACTGGAAGTTGGGCCTGGATAACGCTGTGTTGGTTGGTTTATTTGTAAGGAATGTGTAAGGCATTTTGGTAAGTTGAACAGTTTGCCGAGGAGACTCAGACAGAGGTTCCCTCCTTTGAGCTGCTACCATTCTCCTGCAAACAAAGTGGAGATATGAAGGAAAGGCCAAGTCAGGAGTCAAGGCACCCCCTCTTGTCCCATGCCCAGGACCCTCAAAGCTTTTCCTGGGGAAGTTCCACAGACACCTCCAGACCTTCAGAGAGGCCCAGAGCTGACTCCAGGGGCTGGGGGTGCATGCAGAGGGACTGATGGGACCCTATGACGAGAGGAAGGTGAGGTGAGTGTGGCTGAGAGTCTGTGGTCCTGCCCCAAGAGGCCCACACAGGCCATAGAGTGAAGACAAGTTAGCAGTGCAGGTGTCAACTCCCTGGGGCCCTAAACAGCATGGACCAAACCTCTGGAGGTATGGAGGCTAGCCCTGCAGTCCAACCTGCACCAAGTACTTACTGCTTTTTCCAGCTGTTCTTGCAACTTCTTTACTGTGTCCCTCTCTTTTGTCAGCTGCCCCTGGGTCGTCTTCAAAAGTTCTTGAAGCTTGGTGGCGGCACGCCCCAGGTCACTTGTTAACCTCTTCTCCTTTTCTAGTCTCTCCTGTGGGCCAGAGGGTTGAGAGAAGTCAGGGCCCATGTGATATACCGGAAGAAGAGAGCTATGAGGACCTCCAGGAGCACAAGGCAAGTATCTGGTTTTCAGGGACAGTGCCGGCTGGGAGGAAAGCCTTTAATGACAATGTTGCCTGTGTCCTGCCAACTTCAGCCGCTGCCAGGACAGTTTCCTGGCCTGATGGTTTGCTGTGCACTGCCCAGTGTGAAGGCCACTACATGTGTACCTAAAACATGACTTCAAGCTGTATAGAGCTTACATTTAATTGACAACTAACTTGTGACTGAGGCGTGACTTAGTGCTGTCAAGTGCCCTTCACTAGGTGTGGCCAGGGAAGCCAGTGCCTGGGTGGTTCTCTGGACTGGCCCCTGTCTAAGGCCATGAATGACTGTGGTGATTTGAGTAAGAATAACCGACCTCCCTAGGCTCATATGAGACTGCTTAGTCATAAGGAAGTAGCACTTTTGAGAAGGATTAAGAGGTGTGGCTTTGGAGGAAATGTGTCTCTGGGGGTGAGAACTGAGGTGTCAAAAGCCCATGCAAAGTCCACTTCTTTCTGGGCCTGGGGATTAGGATGTAGCCCTCAGCTACTGTTTCAAAACCACGTGTGCTGCTATGATAATGGAATAAACCTTGGAAACCGTAAACAAGTCCTCAATTAAATTCTTACTTTTTTTGTTTTGTTTCTCAAGACAGGGTTTCTCCATGTAGCATTTTTGGTTGTCCTGAACTCACTTTGTAGCCCAGGCTGGTCTCAAACTCACAAGAGATCTGCCTGCCTCTGCCTCCTGAGGACTGGAATTAAAGGCGTGTACCACCACCGTCCAGCTAAATATTTAATTTTATAAGAGTTGTTTTGGTCATGGTGTCTCTTCACAATAGAACAGTGACTAAGACCAAAGCCTTGAAACCTACAAGTCAAACCGGTACCCCAGTTCCATCCTCTACCTTCAGCTGTGTAATCTCTTCTACTCCTGAAGACTCCAGGGGACCAGCAGCGCGGAGCTTCTCCAGCTCTTCCTGTAACCGATAGGCTGTGCTCTGAGCCTTGTCAGAGAGGAGAAAGGTCTGAGTCAGAGGCCTAGTAGGTCAAACCTGGTTAAATTCACCTAGGGGTTGCGGTGGGGGGCAACCCCAGCCAAAGAAGGCAATAGCTCAGGTTAATCCACATGGCTGGATCTACATGGGCAAGAAGCTTGGACATAATCTACAAGCACCCAAGCCTTCAGGATCCCCCAAAGATGTGGATACCCACAATGTTCCTCGGGTAGACTCAGTACTAGTGCCCACTCACTGGGGCCCTAGAGCTTCTTAGTCCAGGTGCCGCCTGGTGGTTAAGCTGGGAAGCCCTGAAAGCGTGTAGGGACTGAGGGCCACTTGGCAGGGGCTAACCTCTTCAAACTCAGCTGTGAGCTTCTGCCGCCGTGTTTGCTCATCCTCCAGGATGGCCTCTGTCTGTTCCAGCTGTGTTTTCAGCTGTATGGAGACACAACAAATGTGACTGCAGTCTGGGGACAGACCCAAACTGAAGCTCCACCTTCTAGCTGCTTCTAGGACTCCTTGGGCCTTTCCCTGCCCTGGGGAGTCACACTTAGCACTTTCCTCCTGGGGAAACAGTGCCTCAGACTCAAGAGAGAAGCAGAGAAGTTGAAGAGAAGTGGGGAAACATTACCATTCCAGGAGCCTTTCACAGGACTCACAGGATAGGAAAGACCCCAAAGCCATGAGTTTGATTCCAGGTTCGCAATGGGAGCCCAACAACAGGTCCCTGCCTCTGGCCAACTGTTCTTGGCAGCTGTTCCTTTGGTCAAAACACTAGAAGATATCCTGCTAGCAATGACCCAGGAAATGGCCACAGCTAAAGGCAAATCCCCTTTGTGCTACAGAACCAAACCCAAGCTGCAGGCCTGTCCAGGAGCCCCTGGTGTTATGAGGACTAAAGGCCCTGGTTACCTGCTCTTGACTCTACCATATGTTCTGGGTACCTCTCATCCAGACCAAGCAGGGTAGAGAGAGTGGCTAGCAGTGAGGACTGGAAACACCTACTATGCACAGTTTAGTCAGCACAGAGGCTGCCCACCCTAAGTACCACCTGGGGAGTTAGGGACACATCTTAGGACAGCTCATCACCCTAACCTTCATAGGGTCCTGCTCGGCTGGAGGGACAGCTGGAGACCCAGCCACGTCACCATCCTCTACGTGGCTCTTCATGTCACTCAACTGCTGCCTGACCTGAAACGGAGGGGTGCATTTGTGCAAATAAACAGCTAAAGGCATGCAGGTACACGTGTACACACACACACACACACACACACACACACACACACACACACACACACAAACCACGCATTCCACTCTGAGCCAACAAGCCTCCAGGACAATAAGAGCCATGGTGCTTATTGAGGTCAGCTGGTGCCACCTTCCAGCCCCTGGAGCAAAGTGACTTCAGTGGATGTAGACCTCACAAAGCCAAGGAGTCTTCATGGAACAGACAGAGCTGACAACATGCCACACTTTGTAATGTAATGATGTAATCTCCTGTTGATGGCCTTTGGGGGGAGGGGGCTCAGAAAAGGCAAAAATTATTGCCTTGTAATGCCTCATTCCTCTGAGTTCTGTTGCTGGGGCCAAGATGTACAATATAGAGGAGGCCTGGAGGTCACTAACCTCTCTAGGCCTCCCATCTGAAAGGTGTCAGGGCCACACAGTAACCTAAGAAAGGTCCCAGTCAGAAGGCCTGTGGTTAGAACTCAAGTACAAGTTCTTCAGGAAATATGGGCAGCCTCAGGCTCCACTTAAGTTTTACTTGGAAGGCCACCCCAAGTCTTCCTTTCCAAAAGTCCCAACAGGCAGAAACCAAAGGGCACAGTTAAAAGATAACAAGAACCCCCGGCAGGCATACTCTGTGTGCATATACTGCCTGGGTGTGGTGTGGGGTGGAGGCCTCTCACCCAGACTCAACCTAGCAAATGGCTGAGAAAAAGCTTTAGATTCATTCAGGTAACTTGGCCTAGATAACACCCACTTCTGGTGTGGTAGTCTGAGCAAGGCCAAAGAATGGGATCCAGTGAGCTAGGTGCCCATGATGGACTTAGAAGACAGCATGGAGGATGCTAGCCTAACATACCAGACTTGGTCTCTTGGCCAGAGCTCCCCATGTTCCATCTCCAAATTTCAAAAGCTGACAGCTACTTCAAGGTTTTCAAAATGACTGTGCAGATCCAACAGACCACAGCTCTGGCTGAGTGGGCTGCTGCCAATAGCCAGAGCCGGGGGATGGGGTGGGGGAGGCAGCCCAGTGAAGAAGGAGCTCAACTGGCCAAGCGGCTAGGGCATGCAATCAGACACTGCAGCTGCAAACCGGGAAAACGGAATGGCCTCCGAGGCACAGTGCAGCCCCTCACATCTCTGCAGGATTATCTGCTCCCAGTGCCTGACAGAGGGCTAGAGGGGGCAGGCTGCCCTGTGTAACTGTAGTGGCAGGGCCTGAGCCACCACTGAAGCAGGAAAACCTACAGAAAGCAAAGGCGTGCCACCAAAAGGCACCAAGGGACCCTTTGTGATGTCCTGGACTGGGTAGGTGACGAGACAGGCTAACAGGGCTGTCATCTCACAGCTCTCATTTGTTTGTTTGTTTGAGCTCTCAGTTTTGAGCAGTGGACAGGTCTTCCCAAAGACGGGAAACAGAATGCAAATATCTTGGCCTCTGGCAACTACAAGCCCAGCTCTGAGTTTTAGGCATCCTGCCAAAGTCCCAACCTAGTCTATGTAACTAACAGGACTAAAGCATGGCAGGACCTGCTAAGCTTCAGAGTCTCTGCATGGATGTTAAAACACCACCATCCAGTTAATCACACACACACACACACACCAATGTCATATTACACACACACACCCCAATGCCATACTCCCCAGCCCAGGACATAAGCCAACCTACCAGGGCAAGCTCAGCGCTTTGTTTCTGAGCTTCACTCTTGGCTTCATCCAGCTGACACTGAGAGTCTAACAGAAGCTGCCTCAACTTCAGGGGAAACAGCCAGGTAAGAGGTAGAGGAGAGAAAAAAAGAAAAGAAAAGAAAATCGGTTCTAGTGAGTCCATATCTAACCCTGGGATGGAGGAACCCAAGCCCGGAAGATTGACATAAAAGGGGCAGGTGTCCTCCAGCTACCATTTCCTGTCAGTTGACTTAGGAAGGCACACCCAGGCTTTAGAAACACCTGCCCACCACCTCTTGTTAAAGAGCAAAAATTTGCAACCAAAACTAGATGAGGGTGTGGGCTTGGGCGATCTCCTGAAATCAGGAGACTGTAGCAGACCGAAATCCAGTGGCAGCTAAAAACGACAGCAGCAAACCTGCGGAGAGGCCGCAAGCTCAAAGGCCAGCTGGAGCAGGAAGTGCTGCTCTGGCCCTGCCCTGCATTGGTGCCGCCTTTCCGAAATCTGCCCAAAGACACCTCAGGGCTGTCAGTGCAAAGGGGCATCAGCAGGGCTTCGGGTGAAACCCGAAAACCTAGCTTTTAAGGCTCCTATGGACAAGTTCTCCACAGTAAAGAAGGAACCACTCAGAATAACCCAGGCTTCATGGGGCAGAGGCCACTCAGGACCAGAACCTAGGAATGGTGGATTCACTCACCCCTGCCACCTCCTGGGCATAATTCTGGCACTCTGCACTGGCAGCTGCCATGTGCTTCTCCAGCTCTGCTTCCAGAAGTGAAGTATGCTCCCTCACCTAAACAGGGACAGACATGGACACTGGTCAGAGCCTCTCAGTGGCCAGCAGGGGCCCTTATTATACGACTGGGAATGATAGCTGTCAAGTCTGGCTGGCCCCAAAATAAGCAAGGGTAAATATACTACCAGGTACACTGAGGTCAGAAAGAAACAGTCCCTAGCAAGAGAACCCCTCATTGAACATCGAACAGGTCCTGAAAAGTCCTCAGGCTTCAGGGTGGGTAGAGCAAAGTTTATGTATCGGCAAAGCTTGGGACAGAGGGCACTTTTCCAAAGGCCAAGGCTTGCTGCAGTACCTTGAAGAGCAGCAGGCCCCCCAGGAAGCACATCCCTGAATTCTAAGGTCTACAACTAAGCCACTACTGGGCAGACTACACAGCTCATGGCTCCCAGGCCACTGTGGCTATAAAACCTTATCACTTAGGCTCAACAAGACAAAGCCCTTGCTCAGAAGAGCGATGGCCTCCTTGGACATGTGGTCTGTGAGGAAAAAAATAACAAGGATGCATACAGTCTTGGCATGAGTGTCAGAACATGACCAGCAAATTTATAGGACAACAAAAAGCAATCATCAGAACGGAGACAACATACCTGATCTGAGTTTTCAAGTTCTCCTTTTAGCTTCTCTACAATGTCTTCCAGATGTTTCACTGTGACCCGTGACTACAAGGGGGAAGACAAGACCCATCAGGCACGAGACTCTGGGAGAAACATCCTGGGCCCACTAGCTCAGGTGCCCACAGTGCTGTGGCCATCAAGCTCTGGGAAATATGCAGGCCAGCCATACCTTCTGGAGCTCCTCTTCAGCAGCCCCCACCTTGGCCTTCCACACACGCTCTTCCTCCTCCACGCTCTTCTGCAGGTCTTTGAGCATACCCTCCTGGAGAGGAGGCAACACTGAGGCAGGCCCCTCCCTCCTTAGTTTGACCCCGTAAACACAAACTATATCTTCTTCATCCTCTGCAGCACTATTCTTCTCCACTGACTGTTGAACTGAGTGTCACAGGAAAAAGAAGCTGGCCCTGGCAGGGCTTTATCAGGAAATGAGGTCTACAGCCCCTGTAAAGCTGCCAGAACGCCTACTATTCTTGGAATCAAAGGGCTCAACCCCATTTACTCCAGGCCTACCTCGTCCTTCCTGCCTGCCCACCCAAGCATCCCTATTGTAACTATCTTTCCTAGCCCCAAACCTTAAATCCATGCTTGTTCTTGACTTAATACCATCCAGCTAAAGAGATGAGGGCAAGGTGGCTACACGAGGGCATACAGAACCATGTCATCTGCCCCAAAGACTCCAGGCTCTTATTACTGGCAGTGCCCTAGGAACACCAAGCTACAGTTACCACTAAGTCACTACCAAAGTTAGCTCTGGCTGCTCACCGTCTCTGCCAGGATGGTGCGGTACTGGTCACACTCAGCCTGCAAGGAGTTCTGGGTCTCTTCGGCCTCCCTCAACTTGGAGACTATGTCCTGAGGGCAGGAGGACAATCAGGAGTCTGGTTAGTCCTTCCTCTTGATGACTCACTGAACAAACTGGACTCCTGATTCCCAAGAGCCAGAGGAGGACCCAGCCAGCAGTGTCACTTACCAAGGAGGGCTCTACGGAGGCAGGCGGTTTCTTTAGCAGCTCAGAGCCCTTCTCTTTGACTTCCCGCAGCCACTCAGCATAGTTCTGCAAAGACACAGGCATGGTGGGGCCAGGCTGCTCCCTGACAACAATGGGGACCTGGGGAGTCATCTTTCTCCCTACCTGTGCTGAGATGGAGAGGTCTGGGAGCAAAGCCAGCAGAACCTCCTTGGTCTGGGCCTCAGCCAAATGGAGCTGCTTTTCTGATTCCTCCTGGAGGATGGGGAGAAAAGGGCAGCACTCAGCCTGTGCCCCCGAAGAGCACATCCTCAGCACTGCATGGGAGGGACAAGTCAGAGGAGGCTAGGATGTTTGTCTATGGCCCTGGTTATTTGTGCAAACCAGTAGACACTCAGGTCCCAAACACTTTCCCTTTCCAGTTTGTGTGTGCAAGGATATACACACGTGTATAACCAAGCTGAGGTGTACAGTAAGGGCGGGGTGGGGGCGGGAAGAGACTAGAAGGTGCATGGTGTCAGAACAGGTGGAAATTGAAGGTGGAAGCAAGGCATATCCAGCAGCCACCAGGGTCAGGGCCAGTAGGAGACAGAGACAGAGGCTGAAGAGGGTCAGCTCCAGCTAGAGGAGGAGAAGGGGGACCAAATTCCCACCAGGCAGAGCTAAACCAACTTAAAGAACACAGTGAACGCGACCCAAGCTTGACTCATCCCAAGCTGTGCCAAGCCTGACACTACTCATTGGTCCGCCAGAGGGAGTCTGCAGCCCCCTACACAAGGCACAGCACTAGGAAAAGAGGCAGAGAAGACCTAAAGGAGCCACCAAACAAAGCCAAGGACAACTGCATCCCCTGAGGACACAAGTCTGTGGAATGGCTCCAGGGAACTTTGGCCTACAAGTTTTGTCTAAACCTGAGACAGACAGAACCCGCTGTGTATGGCTTGAGGCTTGACGTGGCAAGGACCCCAACCTTGTGAGCAGCACTTTGGCTATCTATCCCTGATCCATGAAGGCAAACAACATGACATATGAGGTCACCCTCTACCTCTATCTGCCTGTGTAGCGACAATCGAGTAAAGTAACAGCTTAGACCACAACTTCCACATCTGCCACAAACGTGGGCCAGATTCATGGGTCATTTCTAGGACTAAAAGTCCAATATTCCAGGAATCTGACTTCAGCTCTAAGAATGCAGTGTGGCTAAGGCTAGCTTTTCCCAGGTCTTTCTTTGGAAAACCACGAGAGAGTTACTGCAAAGCTGTCCTATGGAGATGGACGCTCCTGTGTAAGTGATGCTGGCAAGAGATAGCCTTTCATGTGTGATGGGCACAGGTGCAGGGAGCTCTAGGTGTCACCACTGCTGGGGATGAGATGCCATGCTGGCTCCTGGCCAACCAAGAGCCCTAGAGGACTTCACTGCCCAGATGCTCACTGCTAAGGCCATTTCCCTGAGATACAATATAATTTTCAACTCAGTCCAGGATGAAAAATGCACAGAATCTGTAAGCTGCATAACCCTGGGCTTGCTCAGGGTCTGCGCTCCTCTCAACAGAGGAAAGCGTCAGGGCACAAATTTATTTGCTCCATCTTAAGGAAAATGACAAAAAAGAAGGAGGGAGAGAAGGAAAGAAGAGGCCATGGAGCTTGGGTGGTGGGGGGCCGAGTTAGATACAGGAAATGTTCTAAAGCCAAGGCTAGCCCGTCCATGGCTTTTGAGTCTCATAGTGTTTGCTAAAGCAGATGGGTACTGGTGCTTCACCCGTGGCCTTACCAAAGCGCTCAGGATGGACAGGGGCTCTTACCTTGGCTTGGGTCAGGGAACGCAGCTTCTCCTCACAGGCCCGCTCAGCTAAGGCCAGTGCCTCCATGGCCTTCCAGTTCTTTTCTCGGAGGTCCTAGAGGGAACCAGAGAAAATCAGCTTGGGGCAATTATAGCACAGTCCCCACTGGCCGCCTCAAGCTGGTCTCAGCAAAAGCAGAGCTCACAGAGCCTCCTTTAGTCCACACCAGGGAATCTCCTAGGACCTGCTAGGAACTAAGTATCCTTTCCTTGGTCTATGTACACATGGCCTCTCAGGGCAGGTGGCTCATATACGAAGATAGATACTGTGGCCAGAAGTAGGAATGGTCAAGGCACAAGGTAAAATGGCCTGCCATTTTCAGGAAGAGAAGTGGGGCGCTGTAACAAGGCACTGCGACAAGCACAGCCTCAGTGGAGAGGTATGCCACCTGCGCAGCATGACTTCTTCATGGCTTCTAGTGTCGCCCTTCCTACCCTGAACTGTTCAAAGGGAGCTAAGTCCTGAGCCAGGCCAAGCACTGCAATCCCAGCCCAGAGGTGGCCCCATGCTTGGGCAGTCTGCTGTGGGATAGCTGTGGGCCGTGTGGGAATGGAGAGGCTGAAGAGCGGCTCAGCACACACTGTAAACTTCCAGCACAAACAACGGGGAAAGGAGCTAGGAGTGAGCCATATCCCATGCGGCCTGGGTGGTCACAGAGTGTCTTCAGGTGACTTGGGAGGACTTGGCCCACAGGCTCCTCTCTGCCCCTTCTACTCACATTGTTCTTCCCTTTCTGCTGCTCCATGGCCTCCTTGAGCTCACTGGTCTCCTTCTCCAGACATGACACCTGTGACTCCAGCTCCTTGAGACTGGGGGCGGGGAGAGGGATGGTGAGGTTTCAGACTTGGCTCCAAAAACTCATTTTTTTCTCTGCTTGGGCACCTGGCCCAGCTTGAGGCCCCTCCCATCTGCCTGGGCATATGCTTTAAAAAGCCTATTTAGCTGCCTAGCCTCTTTCTCCACTCACCTTAAGCGCAGGAATCAGGGCAAGGACCTGAGTCAGAGTTAGAAGTAAGGTTTTTAAGACGTTCTTTCTTCTAGCCTAGGTCCTTTCTGGGCACCACAGCCCATTGTCAGCTGACCCTTCCCTGTGGTTGCCACCCCTCCAGCTGGAACTCTTGGAACCACGGTTCTTAGCAGCTCGCAAGAGCCCACTGATTTCTAGCGCTTCGGAGACTTATAAGCTCCTTCTCCCTAGTTTTGGGGCTGAGTTTGAGGAATTAGCTGAAGACAACCTATCACACTATAGGATGGTCAAGTCCCCATCTTTCCAGTGCTCTCCAGTGACCTTCACCATGGAGAAATAAAAGCTATACTCAAGGCTCTTAGGGATGAGCCTCAAATGGACATCTTAATGTGATACCTTCTGCACTGAATATAGAACAGATGGCCCAAGCCAGATATAGGAAACCCAAAGTCCAGAAGTGGTCAATTGTGGTGGTTTAAATAAAAATGGCCCCCATAGGCCCATAGGGAATGGCACTATTAGAAGGTGTGGCTTTGCTGAAATGGGTGTGGTTTTGTTGGAGGAAGTATGCCATTAGGCTCTGAGGTCTCAGAAGTTCGAGCCTGGTTAGTGTGTCACTGTCACTTCCTCCTGCCTGCAGATCCAGATGTAAATGCTCAGCTACCTCTCTAGCACCATGCCTGCCTGCATGCCACCGAGCTTCCCATCATAATGAACTAAACAGCCCCAATTAAATGTTTTCCTTTTTAAGACTTGCTGTGGTCATGGTGTCTCTTCACAGCAACAAAATCATAAGATAACAAATGATATTCTAAACCAGCAGCTTGAGCAACTCTGAGATGCCAAGAGAAGCCTGACACAGAGTAGCTGCTACCAGTCTGATGCAGGGATCTGACTGCCAATGTCAGCTAGAAGGGAACACACACACACACACACACAGGTTTCTTTCAGGAGGCCATGGTCAAAAGCTTTTTGAAAACCACCATTCTAATTCACACTAACATGAACTATAAAGTCAGCATGGGCTGAACACATGGCCATCCTGACCACCCTGACTAACAATGGATTCAGTCTGGCACAGCTTCTGTTTTCAGTCTAAATATGGCAGACCTGGCCTAGTGGGCTTTGTGGCTATGGGTTTTAGGCTCACAAAACCTTGAATACACCCTGAAATCCACTTGGATCCCTCAGTAACTCCCTCTGAGGCCAGCATTATACAATCGTCTCTTCTGGCAGAACACCCCGAGCACGTCCAGGTAAGACCCAGGAAGAAGCATGCTGCACACCAGTGGCAAGGACACACTGACCATAACCTCCTTGGCAGTGGCTATAAAGTTCCAGAACATTTGGTTTGGTACTCCAGCTCAGAACAGGGTGGCTCCACTTAGGCAACTTACAGATACACTGTTTCAGAAGGAAATCAACCAATTCCTGCTGGACATACTAACACCAGACTTTAGCAGGTCTTATTCAGAGTCAGAGTGTGACTTAGTTATCTTAGTAATTTTACTGTGTGACACAAAAACCTGAGGTTGTTTGTTTTGATACAAGGTCTGGTAGGTCTGTCTGTCCTTAATCTTATAATCCTCCTGCCTCAATCTTTAAAATATTAAAATTACAGGTATGTCTTATCATGCCAGTCTTCAAAACTATGATCTTAAAACACAAGAGAAAGCCATAAACGAATACAACCTCTCCACCTTATAAGTATCATCAGGAGAAAAGAGGTTCATCCATGCATTCTGAGAGGGCTGACTTCTGGGTCTTCAAGTGAGTTTCTAGTTTATTCTTAGCATGCCCCTCCTCTCAGTTACAGAGCCCAGAGGATGCCAGGGGACACTCAGGCTGTGACTAGGAAGCTGCATTACTGCAAAGCACATGGAGAAACAACTCTTTGGCAGTAACAGTCAGAATGAGGGATCCTGGTGGCTGCTATCCTAGGACACTGCCAGGATGCAGGGAGTCCATTCTTCGTACCCCTCCTTCACATGGCTGCTTTGGGGGCCTAGACCATGGCAGCAGGACTCACCTCCCAAGCCTGTGGGCATCTGCCCCAGAGGCGCTGGTCAGAAAGACTTGAGCCTGATCTGAGCAGGCCATCCAGACACTTTGGCCTTAGCCAACAGCAAACAAAAGCCATGAGAATGACTGGTGTGAGTCTGTATGCAACTGACACTGAGGGGGAATAGTCTGGCCAGCAGGAAGTCACCTCACAAATGAAACGACTCTATAATGTGCTCTGGACTACTCCAACAGAAAGGGACACTTCCTCGTTTGACTTCTGGATCTCAATCCTTAAAAACCCCACACCTTGCAGAAACCGAGAGCCTTTATGAAGCACTGGAGAGAGGCAGCACAGCTTACTCTGAGTTTCGCTGTTATGTTCATCCAGGGATTTGGGCTAAGCTTCAAGTGTTAAGAAGGCGTGAAACCTCTAAGAGGCAGGGCCTAGGGGGAGGTAGTTCGGTCATGGGAGTGCTGCCCTAAAAAAAAAAATTATTTCTATAAAGGCAAGCTGTTGTAAACAATAAGCCTGACCCTGGTCTCCTGCCTCACCACGAACAACTTATGGATTCCTGCCATTGTGCTACACACCGGGATGTGAGAGCCAAGGCGGGCCCTCACCAGAGGCCAGATACCAAACCTGAGAGCTGAGGAAGTATCTTTTCTTTTGAAGGGTGCCCAGCCTCATGTATTCCGCTGTAACTATGGAAAGCAGACTAGTACAAAACTCTTGCAAGGTGGCTTTGTTCCCTACCAAGTCTGTCTTCTATCCTCTAAGTCACCGGAGGGACAGGTTAAGCAAGGGGACTCTAAAATCTAAAAATTCTGAAGGAGGATTTTCCCCTTCAGGAGACCCAAGCATTCCAGTGAAAGCTCCAGCTTCCAGGGGCCTATGGCCAACCTGGGCTGCAGCTGGAGCAACAGCCCTGCAGCCCTCCGTGAAGCTTACCGAGTCTGCTGCTGGTCCACCTCAGCTTGGCTGGCCTGGAAAAAAAAAAAAACCAGAAAGCTCCTTGGTTCCACAAGGCTCACAAGTGCAGGAACTGGGCAAGGCTGGAGGCCCTTTGCTCAGCGGAGTCCACCCTTTCCTCGCACTGGCCTGAGAAATGACTGACCTGGGTGACTTGGGCCTGGCCTGCTCCCAGAAGCGTCTCGATGGACTGGATCCTCTCTGTGAGCTGTAAGTTCTCTGCCTTGGCATCCTGGAGCTGCCCGTGGAGATTACTCAGCTCCTCACACTTGCTTTTCACTTCTAACTCAGAAGACTGTAATTTGCTGTGCAGCTCTGTACAAGGACAAGGAAAGAAGTCAGGGTCTGGAAATGCCTGGCTGGGCACCTCCTCCAACACACATAGAACGCCAAGGGCTCCCTCTTGCACTGTGTGCCCAGAGGCCTCACTTCTGCATGGAGCTGCTTATGGACTGGTAAGGAAAGGCGTTCCTGTGGCAGCGACATCTGTGAGCACCACAGGTAAAATAAACCAGTGAAGGAAAACGAACAGCAAGCAAAGCACATTCAGTGCAAGCTATACACATGTCACTCTCTACAAAGTACCGGCTCATAGGAGTGAGACTGAGAGCAGACGTGAGACATCCAGCAGCTGTGCCCTCCCAAGGACCTGCCCTGGCCCTTCTGTGGGAGACAGACATCCTCCCGCTACGGTCAGCTCACAAGTCCCACAGCTAAGTTAGCCCAGTGCCTCTGACGCGTCCTCTCCCTAAGGCTGATCTTCAGGCTCAACCCTAGGTGACGCTTCCAGAGGGAGCCTGAACAAGGCAAGAGAGACTGAGTCCCAGCTTCTCAGGGATGGGATCACCTCTCTCCCCATCTGCAGCATGGGGGCTCTGCACCCACCATCTCAAAGTCTGTCTCCACCAGGCCACTCTCTTTCTTGTCTAGACAATGGCAGCTGCTCCTATCACCGCTTCTCCCACTGCCCATCTGAGCCTGCACCACGATTCTGAGGAGTGCCAGTGGCTGAGTCATGGCCCTGCCCCACATCTTCCCATGTAGTCAGCTTTCTCATCCCAGTACATACTTGGGGCAAGTCCACTCCTTTCTCTGGGCTTTGTGCTGCCTGGGCTCTCCTTCTTCTGACCTAGTTTTAAGATCCCACCTTCTACCTCAGAGGGCACACAGTGGCCAAAGGCATACCTGGCCTTCTAGAGCAGAGGCCAGGAAGCTGGCCCAAGGCTGCTCACCCCCACCCATTGTAAAAAGAGTTTTGTTTCAATGCCAGGACTGTAGATTACAGGATATCAATGGCTGCTTTGCCCCCAGTAGCAGAGCAGTGTGGTTGTAACAAAAATCATCTATCTCAGAAAGTCAAGCATTTACTTCTGCCCCACCACAAGTTTGTCTGTCCAGAAGGCATTGTTGTGACTAGTCCTTGTGGCTAGCACTGCTGCCAGCCTAGCGCCCATGTCAGAGGTTCAGGAGGAATGGTAAGTGACTGATCACCACATTCTTATCACCAGCACCACCTAGGCCTCATCCAGCCCTTGCAGGCCCTGCCCCCGCTCTACCGTCCTCCCCTCATGTTTAACACTTCCAGGTTCTACTCTGTAGCCAGTGGTGGATAGTTTGGGCCCACTATGTATGGTTCCCACAATGAGACAAGGTCACTGGGAAGACTCATCTGGGAGAGTCATCCAGAAAGAGCCATAGACACTGCACTCACCTGCTACCCGCTGCTGCTGTTCCTGGGCCTTCTCAGCGTCTGCCCGGAGGCTGGCGTGGCTAGTCTGTGCCCTGCACAGCTCCCGGGTGACCTCCTCAAGGCGCTTCTGCAGAGCCTCTTCACTCTCTTTATGGGATGCCTGAGGAGGAACAGACAGGAAGAGGGCTGTGAGAAGCAGAAGAGGCCTAGCTCCTGTAAGCTGAGGGGCTGCAGAGAACACAGCTCTTTACATGGTTATCCTAGTCACTGTGGTCTCTGGATGGTGGGCAAAGAACAAGTTCAGGGCCAGTGACATGGTTCAGCTGGCAAAGGTGCTTGCCTCCAGCATGATAATCTGAATTTAGTCCTTGGGACCCACACAATAGGAGAGAATACTCTTATGATGTAATTTCAACAAGAAAGAAAGTCCATTTCTGGATAATTCTGAATCTGTATAAATATTCCCCCAGCTAGCACCCCTTCAATGTGAGGACAGCTCCTAGAGTTCTTGTTTGGGGGGAGATGGCTTCCCCATTGGTGTCAATTCTCTCCCTTGAAGTAGCTGCACACAAGCAAGGCACACAGTTAAGACATATAACACCGCTAGCCTTTTTACTTCAAAGTTCAGCCACACAAAACCATCGGTGTTCAACCATGCTTGATCCGTCAAACGGCCATTTCTCCTATTTTCAGTCTGCATCTCGAGGACTTCCATGTCAACACAGACAGGTCCACCTCATCCTTGTTCAGAGCAACACAACTGTTGCCCATTCAGTGGCAGAAAGGCCTTTCTCATCTCTCAATTAATCCTCCTCAGGGCATCTGTCAATCATTCCTAAACACTGGCCTCCTGGCGAGTGGGTACTTTACAGGCCAAATTCTGCAAAGGACCAGATCTCTTCAGAACCCAAGTTTGTCTGGATCACGGACGAGTGGGACGAGTGAGAGGGGACAGTCAACAAGTAACTCTAGTCAGCTAAAGTGGTATTCCAAGACATGCCTCAAACACTTTAAGGGGCTGACAGATTGAAAACACCAATTTCCTTCTCTTCCAGGGCAATGTCTGCACAGGGGTGCTAAGTCAACCATTTTAATGACATGGAGACAAAGCTGAATCCAGTGATAGAGCAGCTCTTACTAAGAATGTGCCCCTTGGCTGTAGAAAAGTGTGCACTATACAAGGGAAAGTTGGGGTAGCTTTAGGGTGGGTAATATTTTCTCTACATTCAAATGTGTCAAAAGGTTGGCTCAGCTCCAAATAAAAGGCACAAAAGTAAAGAATGGTTCAATGTCTCCCAGTGGGCAGGCATGCTTCTCCTCTGCCCACCCATCATAGCATATATAATATCCTCACCGCTCTGTCAGTACTGAGAAAAACAGGACAGAGACATCACCTGTGCAAGAATACCACCAGCCCGCCTGTGTCTCTCTTTTCATTAAGTAGGAGAACCAACCTGTCTCATTTTTCTTCTCACTGAAAAATGAGAGACTGCTCATTTTCTTCTCGTAGTCAACATTAACTAAAGTACTGATTTCAATAAACAATCACAGGAATCCATTCATCTATAGAAATTAAAAACTTCAAAACTTTAACAGAAAGCACATACATACACCTTAGGAGACAACAAGCCTTTTAGTCTGGAAGAGGGTCATCAATATAGCCAGGCTAGTTCTATGCTAGGCCAACAGGCCATGGACTTCCATAAATAAACACTGCTGGGACTTAAGTTCAGTCTATCCTGGGACAAGGAGTTGGGACAGGTTCCATTTACCACCTGGAAGATGGCTCTAGGGTCAGAGTTAGGGCCACCTCCTGATGCTATGCTTTGGGAACTAAGCCAGTAGGGCCTTGCCCGCCCTGGTCCCCAAAGAGTTAGAAAGGCAGAATGAAAAAGGCCTTTCTTTCTAAAAAGCAAGCTGCAGTCTCGCATGGCTAATCTTCAGTTGCACTGCAGACAGGCACTACTGTCATGTCCAGGAGCAGAGAGGAAGCTGGGCTCAGCCTAGGCCAATTCGTCTTCACACAAGCTAGTAGGAGCATCAGAAGTCCTAAGTCCCGGGGCTGACGGAAGCCTTGTGGGTGTTACCTAGCATGCTACGAGGACAACCTCCCTTCCTCTGAAAGAGACTGGGAAACATCTTCCAAGCCACAGCATTTCCAGCCAGAAGCTCACTGTCACTTCAGAGCTGCAGTAGCCAGACTCAGACCCAGAGTCTGACTCTGCCATTCCCCTTGCCATGCAAACTTTGGGTAGTTGTTTCACTTCTCTGTGCCACAAGCGTCCTTGTGAGTGAATGGCAGATGCCAACAGTTCCTACCTTGTAGAATAGGGTATAACATTTAGGGTATAACATTGGTACTTATTGGTACCAAGCACACTGATGCTTAGCACACAGCATTTCCTGTATGCTACTACTCTAACAAGGCAAAGCTCAAGAGTTCAAGCCCCAAACACTGAGTAAACTTCCAGCTATTCACCCTGCCTGGAAAGGGATGACTATGCTCATACAGAACACCCACAGGGCTATACAATCAGGTTCAGTGCGCAGTGAATGGACATTGAGGTGGCTACCACTGCTACTCACCTGCAGTTGTAGGACCTGCTTCTCAAAGGTGGCTGCTTTGGCTTCCAGAGCTTTCCGTTGTTGCTCCTCCTGCCGGGAGGCCTCTGACTTCTCCACTAGCTCCTTGTTGACCTTGTTAAGCTCCTGTCTGAGCTTTGCCAGTTCTGTGTTCTGCCTGTAAGACAGTTCCCAGCCCCAGTTGAGGAGGGGGATAGAGACTGGCAATTGATCCCTCTCTCAGGCATATCTGTCCTTTTCTAGTTTAGTGCCCAACTCTTAGGTTCATTATCTAAGAGTAAACCATGTGGCTTTTGGTGTGGATTTTATTAAAAATGGGTTGCCAATATAGTATGTGGAGCAAAAGGCCTCTCTCAGACACCACTAGAAGCAGACAGAACAAAGACAAGACAGGTGCAAGGAGCGTCCCCTCACTCCCTGCACGTGTGTCTCACTTCACTGCAGGAGAGAGGATGGCCAGCTTAGGGAGTGCCTCTTGAAGGCACTGATGGTCCTCGTCCTGGCTCCTTGTTCCACCAGATGACCAGAGAGGCCATTCAAGGCTAGTGATCAAGACACTTAGAAAAAGTGCTTCAGTGTGGCACTTTAAAGTGGGTGTCAGGCCACAAGAATATTCTGGAATTTCAGGAAACTTACTGAAGGAAAGTTTGAGACTAATCAAATGTCTACCTCTGTTACTAGCTAGAAAAAGCATAAGACAAGGGGACAAAAAGAAGTGAAAACCCAGCTGCGAGCAGCTGTGCTTCACTGACAGATGGGGTCCCTCCTCTCTGACAAACTATACCAGAGACCAAACCACAGCACCTTTAACTCAAGCACTGAACAGTGCAGAGATCCAAATGACCTGGTAAGGGTGGTGTGGCGCCTTCTCGGGACTGCTTAGGACTTGTGGATGGAAACAGGGCTGGTAAAACCCACTTGGCTGCTGTGGACTCCCGACCAGGCAGGGTTTCTGGACTGAGGGGAGGCAGCAGCCACTACTTGGTGACAATTCCCCAAGCTTCAGAACTTTCTTCAGAAAGAAAGTGAGAGATTCCACATGACAGAGAATGCCAGAGTTTCTCAGTCCTCAATATCCTCGCAGTAGAGGACTGAGACCACAGCAAGTCCTTGAAACACCTATACTCTCAACTAGAATAAATCTGGCTTTGATACTCTGTGACAACCCCCTCCGTATATCATGTATGCCAGCAAGGATGAGCAGCAGGTTGGAACACATCAGATCTTTCTGAAGCATCAATGACATGAGGGGCTCTGGGCCAGCTGCTAAAAGACGCAACTGCTCAGAACCCGCACAGATGCTGGATGTGGCCAAGTAGAAACTCACAGGAAGTCCTGTGTATGGCTGCCACACCAGCCCCACACCCAGAAAGACGCTTGACTGCATCTGCTATAGCCCACAAGAGACCCACTAAGTCCACCCAGGTTCTCAGTCCTAGGAAACATGTTACCATGGTCTCTACATGGGACACTCAGCTTACTTGCTTTCCACCTGGCTGGTGGCCTGGTTCAACGCATCCCTCAAGATGGAGTTCTCCTGCTGTAGGCGGGCCAGCTGGGTGTTGGGGCCATTCTCTAGCTGCTCCTGAAGAGTCCGGATCTGAAAAGTTACCAACAAGATCATCAGGGCTGGTCAGCCACACACAGCATTAGCAAGGTCACACAGCTCAGAGTGGAAGGTCTGGAGACTACATCTGCTCCAAGACAAGTCAGGAGTGTACATAAAGCAAGAGGTACAAGCACTGTGCCACTCCAGTGTCAGGGTCTCAGGGACAAGTGTAGACCTCCTTCACCATCACCCATCTCTCTAGCCAACGCCTCAGACAGATGCACAGGTACCTGAGGTCACACAGGTATACTATTCTGAGAGAAAAAAAGCACAGGGCCACAGAGCACAACTACCTCAAGGAGGACTCATCTCTTGCCTCCTGAGTCCACAAGGCATCCCTGAGACATGTGGCAGGGAAGCAGTCATGCCCACAATGAGCCAAGCATAGGTTTTAGAAGATAAATGTCAGTCAAGACAAGGAGTCACCAGTGCTGGTCTCCCGATCCAGGTAAAGGTATGTTCAGGTTTCCTACTTTACGGGATCCTCCCAACCACCTAGAGAAAGTGTAATCAGCATCACTGCAGCCTCACCTGATGCAAGGCTCTTTTGAAACGGTGCTCTTAAAAATGTATTTTAAACCTTCCTGGTTAATAACATCAGAGGTACAGAAATGCCCAGTCAGATTCAGATCCCAGCAGACTGCCTCACCCTCTGTGTCCCCATGACTCACCCAAGCCTACTCCTTCCCCTGTGCCCACCTTGCCCTGCAGCTGCTGCACCTCCTTCACATGGTCCTGGTAGCTGGCCTGCATTCGTGCCTGTACAGCTGCGATCTCCTGCTCCCGAGCTACCAGCTGCTTCTTCACCTTGGCCTCCCCAGCTGCAGCTTTGGCCTTCTCTGAAGCCATCTCCTAAGAAGAAACGGCAGGTAGGGGTGAGGGAACTTGACCAGGCAGGCAGAAACAGGGCCAGATTACTTTCGTGAAAAGCATTGAAAGGGTAATGTTCTAAGCGGAGTTTGTTCTGTCTATGTAGCCTAGAAGACAAGTATTGTTACCAGCACCCACTGGTGCTCTGATAGCACATTCTTCTGGGATCTGTTCCCATTCCCAGATTAGTGGAGTCCTGCATAGACTGGCAGGGCCCAGAAAGTGTCCACAGACCGGCCTCCATATACAGCCTGGAACCGTACCACCTCCCATCCTGACTTTCTCAGTAGTGTCTGGCTGGTGTTTGCAGGCCTCAGGCTCCTTTGCTGAGCAGAGCCCTATCTTAGAAGGCCACACACTTTGGCACTGGAGTGGACACACAATGGTCTTGTCCAGAGTGTGGTGCCTGGAAAGACAACTGCTGGAAGGGTTTCTAGAAGGTTTTGCCTTCCTTGGCCTGGAGTCTTCAAAGCTACACCTGGGCCCTGAACACTTAAAAGGGAGCGCTGCCAAATCATAGAGCTCCCAGGAGTGCTCAAGCCCATAAGCTCCTTCAGACACTGGTCACGGGCCCAACTCTGAGAGGCCCTTCCAGGTGAGTGGCACAAACTCTGCAGATGACTGGCATTCTCAGTGCATCCAGGACAGGTCTTTTAGCATGACTCCAAGAATGATCACCAAGCAAGACCCTTTCCCAAACATTTTCTCATATACTTTCTCAATGGTTTGGGACTAGGAGATAGAACACCGGCATGACATACACATGCTGGCTCTGCTGGAATATGATGGTCCACAATTGCAAGGGCACAAGGACGATAAAAGCAGACAAAATAATAAACATTCAACTATTTACAAAGGGAAGATACAAATACCAACAAAAGCTCCTCCCTCAGCTGCAAGCCAGCCAGGGCCTCAGTGGCCACTTGCTTACAAACAGTCTGTTAGGCTGGGCCAAGCAAGGTCAGAGTATTTGCTCTACAAGGCTCACAGTCTACCAGCAACCAGATACAGGTCTGTGGCAATTACAATGATCACCTCCATGAGAGTTTCGTAAGATTCCTCAGTGCTGGTTACAAAACTAAGTCATATAGGATATTAAGAAAATGTCCAACCCACCAGGGAAGTACAGGAGAACCTCAGTAGACGCAGGAAAGAGTAGAGCGTCCTGGGAGCAGTCAGCCATCCAAAGAGGGAAGGTAAGATGCAGAGGCCTAGCACTCAGGGTGCAGATTTGGGGATGGAGACTGGGAGCTAGTGACAAAGCATGAAAGAGGTTTAAGTAGAGATCAGCGTTGGATCTCCTGAGCTTATAGGAAACTGGACGTGGGTAGGGATAGAGGATCATAGCTGGACACTGGCATTAAATCTGGATCAGAGCCAAGGCCCAACTCTGGAAGATGAGGTGGGTAACAAAAATCAAGGCTTCTAGACCTACAGTCCATACCAGGAACAGATTCTACTGCCACAACCAAAGAAGGGTGGGACATGAACATGTTTGGTAATTAGGTGCCATTGTGGAAACCATGCCACACAGTCACCTCTGAGGGAGAGCATGGACACTGAGTGGCCAACACAGAGGTAATATCTAAGAAGCCTTACTTCCTTCAAACCTGCCACCCTGTCCTTGGTGAATATGACTTCAGAATGGGAAAGAGCCCACTCTATCAGAGGTTACAACCTCCTCATCTATCATGTCTTAAGCCCTTTCTAAATTAAAGGGTATAGACATAACTGACTAGTCAAGGAACATACAGCCTGCTAGAAGGGCAGACACTCCTGCAGCCTCTCATCTGTACTTCAATTTGGGAGTCAGCAAATTTCCATCAGGACTCCTCTGTCTTTTAAAAAGAAGGTATTTTTGTTTTTGTGTGTTTGTTGTTGTTGCTTGTTTTTTGATCACTGACATAAGCTGGAGCCATCTGAAAAGACTGTTGGTTATGGTGACCCTGGGCAGGTAGTATGCAAGCCAGTAAGCAGCTGTCCTCCACGACTTCCACTTCAGTTCCTGTCTTGAGTTTCTGCCCTGACTTCAGTGATGGAATGTGAACCGAGAGTTAACATGAATAAATCCTTTCCTCTCGAGTTGGCTGTGCTGTTTATTACAGCAACAGAAACTCTAACTAGGGCAGAAGGTATTAGAACAGCTCCCCAGAACTGCGGACTCTAGTCATCTCATCTAAGAAGTTGGAGGACTCTGCCAAGTTCTATGGTATAAACTCTCACCCTTCCTGCAGCCTAGGCCTAAATCCTAACATGAAGTGTGCATAGAGCTAGGAGGAGATGGTGCATCCAATTGTCGTAAGCTGAAGGCCTGCATTTCCAGGAACCCCAGATAGCTCAAGTAGGCCATGTGGTGACATCTTAAGAGGCAGGACAGAAGGTCACTGAACCCTAAGAAGAGGTCTCTGGTGGATGACCAACTTGTCTATCAACCAAATTTTCTGTCTGGCTCAGAGGTGCAGTCACTGATTTTAAGAACAAACTCAATTTGCCTCATTTCTAGTTTGTCTCAAGTAAAACAGATGGGAAGTACCTAAGAGAAGGGCTATGCCTCAGATGGGGTCATATATTTAATGGCCCAGGCCATTCCCCTGAGTCTGCTGCCTGGGACAGGGAGACGGCAAGAGAAAACCCACAGCACCTGGCACAAGAGAGAACTTCCTAACTGAGAGGATACCAGGCCCATGGGGATTCCCCTAGTCCTGCCCTCTATATCCTCTGGAGATTCTGGGACACCAGGATCCACCTCAGAAGCAGAGAGGTAAGGGAGAGGCTCCAGTGAGCTCAGCAGTGAGTGACTGTCCAAGCCTGGGGACCTGGTATATCCTGAACAATGCCCCAAACCTGCCCCCCCTTAGCATCCCTGGCTCACTGCTACCTGTCATTCAGAGTAAAAGCCTTCTGAGCAGCCACAGGCAGCCAAGAGCTACCCTGTACAATACTCCACTAACATCAGAAACAGGGAGGAAGATCAACCTCTGCCCCAGTTCTCAGGAAAACCAAACTGGATTAAGTGTGCACCTCCTCCTTCCTCAATGCACTAACTCAGAAGATTACTTGTCATCCTGGGAACCACCACAATCTGAGGTTCTGGTCTCCGCTGAGCTGCATGTATTCTTAGACCTCAGAGGAGGGACCCCAATACCACACCATCAGCTCTTTAGACAGCACAGAATCTTCAGTCAAAATATTCTTGGCTTGCTAAGACAGACAAGCCCCTATCCTGGTGCCCAAAGGGCAACTGTGGCTGAGATTCTCAGAGAACAGAAAGAGAAGGGGCTGCCTCACTTCTGAGCTTAGACAGTACCTTGTTGAGTTCCCTTAGTTTGCTCTTGGCGACAGCCGCATCCTCTTGCTCCGTGGCTAGCAGCTTTTCTTTCTCTTCTAGCTGGCGTTTCAGAATTGCTACAGGGTCACCCTTCTGCGTGGCCTAAAAATGTTGACAAAGCCATGTTAAAGAGGAACAGAAAGAGACATAGTTCCCCCCACTCTGGCAGTGAAACAAGAGCACAGTGGGTAGGTAGCTAAGTACCATCTGACCCTAGACACAGCCATGAGGAACAGACGGTCCAGCCTTCAGAAACTCCTAGACCTTGTGCACATGGATGCTTGCTGTAGTTTTCATAACCATAGGATTTCCGGTTTTAAAGCCAGTATATGCAGCCTGGAGGCCACTGGCTGCAGTATGGGAGCTAGAACAGGAAGTCTGTATTCTAAGGACATGGTCTGAGATAAACAGGGACTATAGTTACCTTGACTTCAACACTCATACCCAGGAAACACCCCCAGTGCTTACTTGCTGAGGAGCTCCTGCATCAGCGAGAACATACAGAGCCTGTCATCCCCCAGTGAGAGCCAAGACATGACTTAGCCCCAACACCTCCAGCCACTGAATTGACCAGCAGAGTTACTACCCGACTAGTTAGAGACAAACCCATGCATACCTCACTCCCTAGAACACAGGCACTAGAGTAGGAATCAGTCTTTGAGTTTGCCATGGTAGCACAAGGGACATGTCACAGGGCTCTGCCACACACTATGTCTGGATTTCTTTCCTTATACTCTAGCCCAAACCAGCTGGGCCAGATCCCTGCTCTGCCTTCCGGGCAGACAAGCAGTAGTAGATCACTGACAGCTGATGCTACATCCTGAGCACAGGCAGCAATGGCAGGATTCTCTAGGACGTGGAAGCCCTTCCAACCCTTCCAGAGACATTCTTTTTGCAGCTTGACAAGCAAGGTATGCCTTGGTAGACAGCTCCTGGGCAGGGGCAGGACTGAGGAAGACGTTGATCTCAGGGGGAAAGGCGTGAGTCATGCCAGCCCTGCAGTGGCCTACCTTATGCCAGGTGTCCTGAGTAACTCCAGTCTTCTCAGAGAGGATCTCAATAAGCCGTTGGGCCTCACCCTCATTGAACACCATGCTTCCAACTGTGGAGACCAGCGTCGTATAGGGCAAGAAGAGAGGGCTGTCGCAGTCTTGGGTTCCTGAAGAGGGAAGAAGGAGCAGGGGCTTACATTCCACCCCAAAACAAGGGATATACAACAATATCCCTCAAAAGGTAGCCCTGGTCGGAGCCAAGAACTGTTCCACAGCTTTAGAACAGCAGGCTGGTACAGTGGGCTTCTTTCTAAATGATGGGTCCACATCATTGCATAGAGTCCCAGCAAGACTAGGAGAAACATCCTCCTTATTTTATATTGGTAGTAAGAATCATATTCAGGATTCGGTGCATGCTAGGCAGATGCTTTGTCACTGGGCTACAACTTCCTTCTTTAAATTATCAAGACTGAAGCTGTGTGCGGGAGCGGGGATGAGGTAGCTTTGTTGATAGAGCTGCTAGCATACACAAAGCCCTGGTTCGATCCTTGGCACTGCACAAACTGGGAGCTCCAGAAAGGAAGAAGGGAGATCAAGGTCACACTGCACTCCACAGTGAATGAGGCCAGCCTGAGTTACATTAGACCATGTCTTAAACAAACAACAAAAAGGATGTGCAAAACTACGCATAATACATTTTCCTCTGAGTTTTTTTTTCCCTTTCTTCTTTTTCTAGTAAACATTTGGTTCATCTCACCTTCCATGGCTCAGTGAAATTCCCTTTTCTACCTCAGCATCTCCATGGGCACTGACTGCCCGTGACTAACAAGTGTGATCAGAACCACACATGCAAAACCTTGGAAAAGGCTGGCGGGTACCAGGAGTCTGCTCCCCACACTCAGGAACAAGCACTCTATCTCTAGTCTCCCTGAATGGAGCTTAACTAGTAGTGACTGACTTCAGGAGAGGAATGGCTGAGCCAGGTCTCCCAGAACGAGTTTGTTCACCCCCATCACAACTATCACTGCCAAAACCCAACAAAATCCTCCTAAACATCCCCATCCCCAGTCCCCTTGTTGATACTCATGCTGCCTACAGGCAAGAAATGAGTGAACGGAGATAGCTCACCTAAAATGACTAGGGAATTCCTTCTGCTGGTATCTAAATTTGCCCCACAGTTGAAATAGAAGGCCAAATGCACTACAACAGAGAGACAAGAGAGGCCTGCAACAGCAAATTCAGCTAAGCCTACCTTCCAAGGACAAGGATGAGAGGGTTCCTCCAGCAACCTTGAATCCTCTGACTTGTCACAATATTCCTACTTCTAGTCACAATATTTTCATCACAAGTGAAAGCACTTAGCACGATACTGTAATGAGGGGAAGGTGGGATGTGGGCGAGCTGGTTGCTATGAGCACCTTATTTTATAACTTCTTACCTTGGGAAAGCTCAGTAGATTTAAAAATAACCACATGAGCACTAAAGGCCTAAGAGTTTGTATTGCCAAGAAAGTGGAAGAGTGTGTGTGTATGTGGGTACCTCCTTAATTTCACTGAAATATGTATGCACAAACAACTAATGGTGGACTTACATACTAGACGTAATCCTGAATGCTACAGAGCCAAAATAAAACAAAACACCCCATAAGCTCACTCTCAGGAGGAACCCCCACTGACACAGTTTTTGTTGTATGTTTTCCCATGCAGCCCCAACCTTGGGTGGATATTCATTGCCCTAGGTTTAAAAACCACAGGCAAGGAGGCATGATGTCCTCTTAAGACTTTGTGGAGTGGAAGGCTGTACAGACATTCCATTCCTGATTCAGAACAGTCTAGACACAATGCTCCCTGAGAACTCCTATGCGACTCTTGCAGCCTGTGATGTGCTTCAAGCAGAAAGTTTACATGGGGTTTCAAAACTCAATGTAGACAAGAACGTAAACCAGTAACCTGACATACTGGATGTGAATTGGTAAGCTGGATGAAGTATGCTATTAATACTCATTCCAACTGTTTCTTCTTGGCCTATTCTAAAATGGCTAGCCAGGACTATTAAGCTACAGATGTGGGTCACACCATATTCCTCTTGGACTGGCTGTTCTATGCCCTTCCAACCCCGTTATCTTAGAAGGCCTTATCCTCTAGAAGTCCCTGAGTGGTTGAAATCTCAATTCTCCACTAGTAGACACTCTTCTAGTGGGCATGTTGGTATATGCCTGTAATTCCAGCACTTAGGAAATAGAGAACAAGAGTATTTAAGGCTAGCTTGGGATACATGAGACCCTGTCTCAAAGAAGGAGGGGTGAGGATCCAAATAAAGACACTGCCCTTCAGGCCCTATCCATTGAGCCTCACCCTTTACCATGGGAGTGAAACATTTGTCTATCACTGCTGGAGGAGGCCTAAATGGTCATCATCCCTGAAAACATATACACATAAGTAATATTATACAGACTGAGTAGGTTACATTTAGAAATATATATGCATCTACAAATACATATATGCATGAAATTACAACGAATGAAAAAAGGCCATGAATTTGACGGAGAGTGGGGAGGAGTATATGGGAGAGTTTGGAGGAAAGGAAAAAATGTTGTAAATATACATATATTTTATAAAATCGCAAAGATTTAAAAAGAAAAAAAGAAAGCATTTAAAATACAATAAAAACCAAAATAAAATCATCTTGAAGACATTTTTCTGTCAAGTTTTTTTAAAAAGTAGCATTCTAATGAATCCTTATTAAACTTCCTCTAGGGTAACTATGAATTTTTCTTAAATGTTTCAATTAAAAGTAAACAGTTGTAACAATTCAAACAACCCAAAGTAATGTAAAGTAAAATTGAGCCTTCTCTGCCTACCCCCTTTTCCACCACAGAAACTTCCATGGCCTTCTCCACATACATATTCTCCTTTACATTGCTTTTAGAGAATAAGAACTTCACAAAATATTTTTCATCGAATCTTTGAGGTCTATTTAAAAGGGGGGGGGAGGCAGTACCTCCACTGTCTCTGAATCAGAGGCAGTAAAACTGACAGAAAACCTGGGTCCCTGGATGAGGCACCTCCATACAGCTTGCCCACAGGAGCCCCGCAACCCACTCACAGCGCCCCACTCGCGCCTCTAGCAAATGTTTGAGGATTCTCCTAATCCTTGGTATTGCGAAATCTTAAGGTATTAGAATAAACTTGCCAAAGACTCCATAGCTAATCTGTTAACCACAGTCTTTAAAAAGAGCAAGGGTTAGGGAATTCCAGAGGAGGTCAGCTCCCTGCACTGCTGCCCTGGCAGCTTGGGTCTGGTTGGCTTTGGTAAGTATGCTCTGGAATGAGGCAGACAGACAGACGGCAAAGAGCAGCTACGAGAGGGAAACAACCAGATCCTGTCTTTGGGGGACACAGCAACACTCACCGTGGGCCAGGCCCTTCAGGAATGCAGAGCTATACAGACCCAGGACAGGCCTGTCCTGCATGGAGGGGCCTGAGGTACAGGGCTTCACTTTCACACGGGAGACAGTATAGAACCCCTACAGCTGCAGACTAAAAGATCAGGCTGGCAACACTGACAGCTAACTCCATAAAAAATAAAAATAAATGGATAAAGCCACCAAGGGGGTTAAACAAATATATGTGGGCCAGAGGCCAGCCTATAGGTCACCTCTGGCCTTGGATATATATATATATATATATATGTATATATACACATAGACATACATACATACATACATACATACATACATACATACATACATATATATGCAGTATCTATGGTTTCCAATGGCCTAGGCTAAAATGTCAACTTCCAACTCAGCTCCTCTGACAACTTTATGTCCTTGGACAACTGGCTTAATTACCTCCCATCTTTGTTTCCTTGTCTGTAAAGTCAGTAATAACTGTTCCTCCCTCACAACCTGGCTGCAAAAATTAACTTACAATGTGCCTGGAATGAGGCATGGGGGAAAAGCATTGAAAACTAACCCCCAGGGCCAACTTTGGATGCCCAACCATTCAGATCCCTCCTTGGACAGCGAAACACCTGCCCCTTCCAAGCTCAATAGTGAAGAAGTCAGGCAAGGGTGAGGCTCTGAGGACAGCCTCTCTGAGGTCAAGGCTGACACAGAGATTCAAAAAGGGCAGACTGTTCTTACGCTGCTAAGCCCCAAGGCTTGAGGGAAGATTATGTCTCCACTGCCAAGAAGCCTGAAGAGCGTCAGTCGGTGTGCCTAACACCTCAGACTTCAAAACTATGATGTGGTTTGCTACAGAAATACTTTATCACCTAGAAAATGAAACTTGTAAAGAGGCACTTAGGAGTCTCTTCTCTGTCAACTGTGGGGTCCTTTAGGAAAATTTGTTCTTTGCCTACATAACCACCAGCTCCCCAATGAACAGCTCAGCATTAGGAGGAAAATGTTAACATAAGGGGACTCTGGGAACTCAGCAGCCCACTGTTCCAGCAGCAGCTAGCCCGTGTCCAGCTACAGGACAAGCCTGTCCTGCCCATGTTCCACCTTCTCAACCAGCAGGGAGGGGATCAGCCCACTCCAGGACTTGCCCTGTGAGTACCTGTGGACAGCTAGACATTAAAGGGAGCTGAGTATTACTGTAGGTTCCCAAAATCTCTGCCCGGGATGAGCAGACCCAGCTTACTTCCCAACACAGTGGATGTACTCACCGTCCCTTACTACTGCCAAATACTAAGCTTGAAGGAGTAAGAAAGGAAGACCACCACTTCGCCACATAGCAGGCACAGGGAGGTCATCCAACAGACCAACATGCTGGGGTCTAGAGAGGCAGCCTGGCAGCAATGCAAGCAAAAGCTACACAGCAGACGCCTACAGAAAGGGGAACAGCCCAGAAAGGGACTCTGCAGGATCCAGGACTCTGGATTCCCAGAGGAATAGAGGGAGATAAGCCTGGAACAGGTGCAAGATTTCATGGGCCCCAGAGATCTGGATTTTATCCCACAGACAAAATGCAGTGACTAAAAGGGAGCATTGTTTGGGATGCCAAAAGGGACAAGGCTGAGGGCAGGCAACTCAGGTAAGAGCCCAAGTTAGAGAGCTCACTCAAGTCCAAGAGTATTCAGGAGCCTAAGTGTGAGAAGCCCAAGTGATAATTCAGGGACCCCTCACAGTGGGGCCCGACGGGAACATGGCTAGGGACTA